CAGTGGGATTAATCATCCAATAAAAAAATTTCGTGATATTACGTTATAAAATTATATCTCGTGGCTTTTTTCTAAGCGGATAATCGGAATTAATAATTATCAATAGTCAACATCTTAATGTATGTACATGTATATACAATGAAAAAACAATAGACATTAGTATGCACGCAAAAAAAAAGAAAGAAAGGAAAAAATTATTCTTACGTTCGACAAAGAATGTTGTTGAGATTCAACGATAAGTGAATGATTTGCTATTTGTTATTAATTTGTTTTAGATCATTTTGTGACGCGGTAGGAAACAAAGAGCGATGGTAAATACTGTGTATGCTTTTTTTTTTTGCTAAATGCTTGTTTGTTAATTGCTCAATAAACAATTTAACCAATCACATTGGAATATCATGTCTCCTGCAAACAAGAAAAGAGTGCAATGGTAGGCCTACTGCATTTCATTATTCTTTTTCATGAAGGTAACATTCTTTGATCCGAGAATATAGGTGATACAAATTAACGTCCCATGCGGATAAAAGTTTTCACGTGATTTGTCTTACCGACATCAAATTATGTAATAAAGCCAAACTGGGAAACGATGAAAGTAAATAAGCAAACAAGTAAGCAAAAATAAGGATAGATTGATAGAAAGAATGATAAAAGGAATGATAAGAATGAAAGAATGATAGAGCGAAAAGCAGAAAGGGTGGAATGATTGAAGAAAGAATGATGAAAGGTAGGAAGGAAGGAAGGAAGGAAGGAAGGTGAGAAAGGTGTGAAGGAAGGAAGCGATTTGGTTAAACCTTTCGTTGTGTCGTCGTCGCAGTTGGTGTGGTGACACATGCAACACTAAATTATAAAGTTAATTGGGGGAAAACAGGGAGAATAAAAGTCTGCACAAATGAATGCTAGAGCAGGTAGCTTTTCCCTCCTTGTAAGCGATGTAATTGGTGACACCATAAATCTCAAGACCTCAAGAAACATCCAATTGGTTCTTCAATGAATAAGGTGCACCCTATTGAGGGACAAATGAACATCTCGGATGTGCTCCTACCGGGAACACCAATTTCGATGGATCCGGACTAGTGCTTATTGATACATGGGTAATGCGCAGAAATTTGCATCTGTTTATTTGCTCGAAAATCCCCGAATCAAACAATTTTACGATTCGAAAACCACTGAATGAGCCGAGCCCATCAGTCATGTTCCACATTCCACAACGTTCCATTGCATTCTTTACCAACACGGGAACGTGTGACGGTTTATTTTTTCACCAAGGAGTTGATGAGAATTCGTCACGTTTCACCGTCATTTCACCATATGCATTTTGTGCATTAACATTGGGAAAATATTTTCAAATGTTATTATTATTTTATTATTATTATTTTTTTTTTATCATTATCATCATCGATTTTTTTTTTTTTTCTCAAGATGAACTCGTACATACGCACACAATTAGTTATCAAATTATTTAACAATCTCATTTCTATATCGATTGGGTACCATGCCAAACTGGGCGGACAACCAACTTGAAAAAAAAACCAGGCGATAAATGAATAAGTAAAAAAAAAAGAAAAAAAAAAAAAAACGATAACATTCGTTATCGTGTTAGGTATTGATTTTAAGATGCATATCCATCTGGACCGTGAGAAGTAGTTTCCATCAAGCGGCACGCGCACCAATGATACTTTGTCACGAGTATCGCCCGTTAGAAATATCACAACGATTTATGCGCGTGGAGATAGAATTATTCATTTATACAAAACCTGTTAACAATATTGTTTCCGAAAAGGCTTAATTTAATACATATTGAAATTTCTCTCAACGGCACGGCAAAAGTTTAAATGAAACAGGCGTAGCTATTTCCGGGAAAAGGCATGACTGGTGATTCTTTGATCTCCCAATTCTATTCAAATCGGATCACAATTTTGCTCATTAGAGGTATCATTCTTAACCACAAATTTGGTAAATTTATGTATTAATTTACGTCGTGCGGATTTTTTTATCCTTGTATGAA